GGGCTGGGGTGAGTAATCTCTGATATTTATTTATTCATTCATTTTGTATCGGCAGCACCTGCAAAATGATACACAGTAATGAAAGGAAAAACATACATTAGTAACCGAAATCTTTGTTGCGTCTTTTATTTACAAAATGAAAAACAAAATATACAACAAATACAGACTAGTATGTAAGGTTTATGATGCTCATAACAGAAACGTTATAATTAATATTGTCAATATTAACGAAAAATTTGGTTTATGCGAGTCGAATGGTGCAGCGGTTAGCATGGGCGCCGCAAGCTATAGCCATAATATTGGCGCTGATTCGAACGGCACGCTCGTCTATATTTCTGGTGGTAGAACAAGTCTTTTGGGGATAAGGACTATAAACCGTAGGCCCAATGTATATACAAACGACACCCAATGAGGTCGGCGGATCAAAAGTTTAACAAAATAATAATCTACCTATCGAAATAACGTTACTTTGATTGTCAATCCAAAATATTGTGGTCTAAAAAGACACAATTTGAACCATACTATGCCATAAAAACTATCCTTTTGTACCCTACGTGTGCAATATATAAAGAACCCAGTACATCCTTCGAGACGAGTAGGGGGTACCCCGGTGTACTGGACAGACAGCAGTGGGGTATTGAAATAGGTAGTTGATGGGGGGTGGGGCTCGATGATCAGTTGAGGGGCGCTAATTCGCAAAATATGGTTATTTTAGGTGATTTTTAACTACCGGTACCTGACCGTGATTTTTTCACTGGGAAGCGCGAGTAATTTTGGGGGAGGCGTGCGCTCCCTTCCCACTCGCGCCCTCCCCTAGATACGCCACTGACAGACAGCCCCTGTAGGGGACAAAGAGAGTTGCTGGTACCGGCTTACCGGGTAGCACAGACTAAACACGAAGAGACTCTAAGGAGCGAAAAATATCATTGAAAAAGTTCTTAGTCCACATATAGCGCCCTGAGCATCTTACATTAGATGGATATGTGTGCTATATAACATTACATATATTATTATTATTATTATTATTATTATTATTATTATTATTATTATTATTATTATTATTATTATTATTATTATTATTATTAATAATAATAATAATAAAACACTCATAAGCCTACAATGTAGCATATATTGATAGTAAATGGAATATGCGTTAATAACCAAAACACCCAAAATTCTATTAATTTTGTGATATATGCAAATGATATCACAAATATGATGACGATATAATATTCGAACATGCACAAGTCAAATGATGTGTTCACAAAAAGCATTAAATAAATGAATAGGCCAAAGACTAAACTAATAAAGCACATAACTAAAAGCATAATAATTATTTATGCTGTTTATAAACGATCTGTAATTAGGTAATGTTTTAAAATTCTTGTAAAATGAAGAAATCAGTTGATTCTGCCTTTATAATTAGGTAAATTATATAGGGTAACTTGGTGGTTTCTCGCCTACTGTAGGTGGATACGCACCACCAGCGGGAGGGTATGCTGCTTGTTGTGGGGGATATCCGCCCTGTGGAGGATATCCGCCCTGTGGAGGTGGGTGTGCTTGTTGAACAACAACTTGAGGCTGCTGTACTGGTTCTGAAAAAAAAATGTACATTATATATCTTACTACATATATGGCTATTTCAAGAAACGCGATGTGTAATCAACGGCGTGTTACTTCAAGCTAAAGCTATGTCTACACTATCAAATTTAATCAAAAAATGTAACATAAAATGTGATGGAACAATATCATCAAAATACATCAAACTGCCTCAAAAAATTTGATGCATTTTTGGAGGAAACTGAATTATTAAATCCGATTGGTTGGTGTGATTTGTAGTGTTTGCTTATGGGTCAAAATTGACAACTTTTTGACATAAACAGTTTGAAATTATGTTATATAACGTGATCGTCATGCCTATATACGGGCACATCACATTTTCACATTTGTCACATCAAAATTTTATTGACTAAACAAAGCCTAAGGTTGAGTTTAGCTTTCTTCAAATCATGAGGTCACAACCTAATTTTGAACTCAAATTCACTCTACTAATGTCTGAATAAAATAGTCATCCTGGAGTTTTCCTCCAATGATTTTGCTATAATGTCGCAGTATTCTTCACTCGCAGGTACGCACACCGGTAATGTACTTAATGATAATGATGATGATGATGATGATAATAATAATAATAATAATAATAATAATAATAATAATAATAATAATAACAATAATAAGAATAATAATAATATTATTAATAATTAATAATAATAATAATTAATAATAATAATGATAATGATGATGATGAAGAATTAAAGAGAACCGATACTTACGTGTGGTTACGTAAGTCCTCGTCTCCGGGCGAGTGTTCGTGGCCTTAGCGCAGCACACACAGCCACACACACAACATGCTATTATGCCAACTACAATAGCCACCACAATGATGATGCTGATTACAATGGTGACAATGATTGCAGTGCTGATGGTACTGAGTATGACATAAAATAAAGCGTTTAAATAAATATATATATATTATATATATATTGACATAAAAAATAAAGTGTTTAAATAAATATATATATATTAAATATATATATATTATATATATATATATATATATATATATATACATAAAATTATGGTGTATCAGTTTTAGCAGATATAGTGCTCGATACTGAGCTGTAGAGCGTTGTATGATTAGTATATATTCCGCGATGGTTTCTTGTGGCTTGGTTGTTACTCTAATTTTCGCGCCCTATGGCTGTCATCAGACAACTGGCAGCCTATGGTTGTTTCTTTTTGTTATACCCATTTGTCATCTGTTTCTATCCCTTTGTTTATTGCGTTGGCCTCTTTTTTTTCTTCATCACATAGGTTGCATTGCCATGATTTGCGCATTTCTGTAGGATTTCCCACTTTATTGAATATTAATGACCTTTTCTTTTCAGTTGTGTTTTGAGGGTTCGGTTTCTTTTTCGTATTTCTCGTGTTATTATAACTTTGCTTGAATGGTCTTCCTGACAAGCCTATGTATGTCTTTGTATTTTATTGTGGCTCTATATACTAGGGCACTGGTTAGGCATTTTCCGTTTAATGGGCAGTGCTCGCTATTTCTGCAACTTACATGATTTGCTGGGTGTTTCTTCTTTGGTTTTGTTGATTATTTTTGAGTTGTGTGCACTAATGATTGTTCCAATGTTTTTCATGCAACGTAGCTGACTAATGTTGCTGATGTTGGGCCATGCTAGTATTTTGGTAAGAAGCTTTTCCGATATTGATAGGTAAAAGTCTACGATGTTGAAGACGATGCAAGTTAGGTGCTGTTTTTATTGTAGGTTGGTGAACCAATCTAGTACGGCGGATGTGTTTCTCCATTGCTTTACTTGTATTTTTTCTTCGGTCTAGCATATGTTTGCTTATTCTTCCTACTTCACTTTTTATTGGGTTGATTTGTCTGCATTTTGGGTTTGTTTCGAAGTTTTGAGAGAGATGAAGGCTTGCCTCAGTTGCCTGACTGCTGTATTATCTATCCTGTCGTTTATTTTCAATTCGTTGGTGATCGTGTCGAATTTGGTATCTATTTCATAAATATGCTGGCGTGAGTTGTCTTGTGTTGTGTTCTTGGTGTGCAACTTACCGTAGTTATCTTGGCTCATCTTGTAAATGTTTCTTTATCTGCCGGTATGTGCGAAACTCAGAGTCTGTCTCTTATACACATCTAGATGTGTATAAGAGACAGGTATTATACTCCATGTACAATAAAATTTGCGATTAAAAAAAAAAAAAATGATTAAAATCAGTTTCTAGCAGTGTTTGTAAAAAAGAATGTACTGATTAATAAATGTATGGATTTTCTTTTCCGGTTTTCATAATAAAAAAAAAAGGTTATAGGTTTATTGGTGTCCTGTACCATTGAAACTTGTTGAACATATGTATATATTGCTCTTTCAGGAGGTACCTGCAAATGAGCCAGCAAAGCCTGCTTTTGGAGGGGGCATGGGCAATATGATGTCCGACTTGGAAGCGAAGCTAAAACTTCGCCGTAGTAAACAGCAGGATGTAAATACAACAAAATATTGTTTAAAAATCCTATTTTCCTCATCTATTTATGAATATTTTATTATATACTTATATTTAAATCAAAAGTATGCAGTAGAACTGAACATGATAAATATAAACAAATAGGTAAATGATAGAATCGGTGCTCAATTTTAGGAACAAATGATGTAATAAATCTATAAGGCATAGCCCATCAACGAAAATGGGCTACGCCTTTTATATTTTTAACATCATTTATTCCTAAAATTAAGCACTATTTCTATAATTTACCTGTTTGATTATATATTCATATATAGGCAAATGAAATTCCAAGTTGACGTGTAACGAAACATGTACCTTTTATTTATCACAGATAACAACATGTATATATGTATTTATAAGCAAATAGATAATAATAATAACAG